GTTAAGGAAAGATCTCTTAGGACTCAAAAAGCATGAGTCATAAAAGAATAATTTCATTAAGTTGAACAACATCAAAATTAAAAATGTTTCATCTTCAAAAGACATTGTTAAGAACATGAAAGACAAATCATAGACTGAGAAAAGATATTTGCAAAACATGTATCTGATAAAAGATTTATATTCAGAATATGGAAAATAACTTTTCGATCCAATACCAAGAAGACAAACAACCTAACAAGAAAATCGACAAAAGATTAGAACAGACACTTCAAAGAATTTATACAACTGATGAATAATCACATGAAAAGATGCTCAACTTCATTAATCACTAGGGAAATATAAGGGGATATTACAAATGAGGGACCACTACACAAATTGAGGAAGGCTAAAATGTAATAGAACCAATCCGGTGTGGACTAGAATGTGACACAAATGCATCTTATAAATTGCTGTTGGGAATGCAAACTGCTAGAGCCAATTTGGAAAATAGTTGGGTAGGTTTGTCAAAATGTAGTTTCTTCTACTCACTAAAAGACAGTGATAAGGAAATGAAAAGACAAGCAGCAGATTGGGAGAAAATATTCCAAATACATACTATATCTGACAAAATATACAGTCCAGACTAAACAAATAATTTCTAAAAATCAGTAATAAAAAAGACAAACAACCGGATAAAAATAGATTAAAAACTAAGATAGTGGGGATGCCTGAGTAACTCAGTTGGTTAAGCATCCAACTCTTTTTTTTTTTTTTTAAGATTTTATTTATTTATTTGACAGAGAGAGATCACAAGTAGGCAGAGAGGCAGGCAGAGAGAGAGAGGAGGAAGCAGGCTCCCCACTGAGCAGAGAGCCAATGTGGGGCTCAATCCCAGAACTCTGGGATCACGACCTGAGCTGAAGGCAGAGGCTTTAACCCACTGAGCCACCCAGGCGCCCCAAGCATCCAACTCTTGATTTTGCCTCAGGTCATGGTCTCAGGGTCATGAGATTGAGACCCTTGTTGGCTCCACACTCAGCATGGAGTCTGCTTAAGATTCTCTCTCCTTCTGCCTCACCCTGCCCCTTTCTCATGCTTTCTCTCTCTCAAAAAATAATAATAGTTATTGTTATTATTATATATTTATAAAAATATATACATGTATATGTATATATAGTGAGGAGTAAGTAGAAGATAGCAAGAGGGAACCTTTGGTGGAGTGGAAATGTTCTATGTCTTGATTGGGGCAACGGTTACCTAAATGTGTAAGTTTAGCAAAGCTTCAATCTGAATATATAAAATCTGTGGATCTCACTATATATAAATTTTATCTCAATTTTAGCAAACTAAAATTAATACATTCAAGTTATATTATGCATTGATTTACTCTTTTCTTTAAGAACCTTATAATAATCTTGATTTCATACTGTTTGCATCCTGGTATATGAAAGTACTTTGTAAATTAAAAAGTACCATAGTGGTATAAAGTATTATTAGTGCTACCTCAATAAAGTATTTTTTATTAATTATTTTTATTAACATATAATGTATTATTTTCCCCAGGGGTACTGGTCTGTGAATCGTCAGGCTTACACACTTCAAAGCACTCACCATATCACATACCCTCCCCAATGCCCATAACCCAACCACCTTCACCATAACCCCTCTCTCCCCAGCGACCCTCAGTTTGTTTTGTGAGATTAAGAGTCTCTTATGGTTTGTCTCCCTCCCAATCCCATCTTGTTTCATTTTTTCCTTCCCTACCCCTCAAGCCCCCCACTCTGTCTCTCAAATTCCTCATATCAGGGAGATCATATGATATTTGTCTGATAAAGTTATTTCTTATATGTCCTGGGGCACCTGGATGCCTCAGTCAGTTAGGCATCCGACTTTTGATTTCAGCTTGGACCGTGATCCTGGGATTGAACCACAAGTCATGTTCCATGCTCCATAGGGAGTCTGCTTGACATTCTCTCCCTTCTTCTTCCTCCTCCCCTCCTCACCCATGCTCTCTCTCTCTTTCTCTAAAATAATAAATAAATAAATCTTTAAAAAAAAAAAAAAACTTACATGTCCTAAAATCATCTCTTGAGAGTTTTAAGAGATATCTCTTGTTTCTAGTGATCTAGGGTTTGATGGAAAAATATAGTATTTATCCTATCTTTTGTGGCTAGATTTAAATAAAACCCCATATTAGTCTCTCTTTTGATCTCTTCTCAATGCAAGTTCTCTGATTCTTCAATAAAATTAGGTCTTCTTTTTCATACTGTTTACATTGATACAAGACATCCTAGAGATGAACGGACCTCTGCATAATATTTTCAATATCCTTCCCAATAAGGATCAGCCACGTATTTATTGACTTTTGTGGTTATAAAAGCACATTGGGCTAATGTCTTTAAGAGTTTCCTAAATCTTTTATTTGTTCATAATTACTAATTTTTATCAATACTACTTAAAACATAGTTTAATAATGTCCTTCTAATTCTTAGCTTCTCTAGCTATGGCCACTGTTCTCTTCATCCTCAGCCATCTGCTATCCCCTCTCTGAGTATATGTCATCAACAATTCCTGCGAGCAAATGTCTATCTTTCGGTTGCGGGTATCCTTATCTTCTGTAGTCTGACTTCCCTTGATATCTTACCTTGACTGATTTCTTAAACTCCAGACCACCAAACATACTTCTGACCACATATTACCACAGATTGCCTGCCCCCTGAACTGACTTCTTTGACCTACTTCAGAAATCATTAGCACCTGAATTTCTTAACTCTTGCTCTAATACCAGAACAGATCTTGTGCACTACACTCTCCAGAGCCCAGTGGTATAGGTCCTTCAAACTCTGTCAGGTTATGGCATCAATAACTGACAGGAATCTTGGAAGAATAAAAACTGGCTTCCATTTTTTAAAAAGTCTTAGCTAATATGTTTTTAATGAAGCCCATAGAATTTTAATCCAATGTGATGAATAAAAATAGATCATATTCTGTTAAAATGAAAGACAATAATGAGAAAAGGGAGAGTCAGACAGAAATCAAGAGTCAGCAGAAGGAATAAAAAGAGAATGAGGCAGAGAAACACAAAGAGGAGAAGGACCAAGCAAAATAGGGAATCAAGAGTGAAGAGCTGACAGAGACAGAGAAAGAAATAGAGAAATAAGTAACAGATAAGGATAGAGAAAATCAGACAGTGACAGGCAGAGAGAGAAGAAAAACAGAGTCAAGGATCCTTGGACAAAAAGGAAGAGAGAAGAGCCCATTCTTCTCTGTCTCTCTTCCCAATCATCCATCTCTTCTGGAAAACAACAACAACAACAACAAAACCAACCACAAACAAACAAGCAAAAACCCACAAAATTACAAACAAACAAATCATGGAAACTCCAAATGGAATTAATATTCACTTTGCTGTAGTGGGAATGAGTGACCTGGGACTTCGATTTCAATGAGTACATGGAGAAAGGATGGAGGTTATACAGACACAGAAACATCTAGCACCTCTCTAATAGCCTTCTGCCTGTTCTATATCCTTTCTCCAGTTGGCTTGAGAATCATCCACACAGTAAAGAAGAAGAAATTGATAGGGCGCCTGGGTAGCTCACTCGGTTAAGCCTCTGCCTTCAGCTCAGGTCATGATATCAGGGTCCTGGGATCAGGTCCTGCATTGGGCTCCCAGCTCAGTGGAAAGTCTGCTTCTCTCTCTCCCTCTGTCTGCCGCTCCCCTTGCTTGTGCTCGCTAATAAATAAATAAAATCTTTTTTAAAAAATTTTAAAAAAAGAAGAAATTGAATCTAATGAGGCAAAAATTTCTGAACCAGAGGACGGAAACTGGCCAGCTCCATGCCTTCTCTTCTCCCCTCAAAACCCAAAGGACATCCTTCAAGGAAAACAAGGACTCTTCCTTCTTTTCCTTGCTCAGAATACTCTCCACCCTGAGAAATACCCACATCTTTCAAGTCTGAACCCATCCCACTTGTTCAGGGACAGAGTTTCATTCACCTCTATCATTTGGGCATATAGCACAGGACCTGCTACACAAACGTTATCAGTAAGTGTCCCTTAAATGAACAAATATACACTGATTCTAGACATATAAGTATATACACACAAACATATATATTTACACAAACATATATATATATATATGTATATTTACTGCTTATATTGCATGAACTTTTATAAGGTTTGTACACAGTACTAAACAAAAATGTTCTAGTCATTTCCCTCTAGATCTACTCTCAGCAGTGTTCTCAACCACACTGATGTCATCATCATCCAAACTATTCACTCAGCATAAACTCTCTCATCTAATCAGAAAGGCCTGTTGATTTTATCTCCTGTCTCCTAATTTATCCCTCACATCATGCAGCTACATGCCAAAAGAAAAGTTGGAATGGTCTCCCTACTCTTTTCTATCCCCCACATTGTTGCCAGTATCCTTTCCAATCAAGTCACATTCTTCATGAAACACCTTCAAGAGAAATCCGTAAGGAAATAACTCCCCATTTCCTTCAGAATTAAAATCCAACTTTCTACTTTGGTGTTGGGAACGTTCCCAGTTACACCCAACCCACCCAACAATAGTCATTTCCTACCATTCTCCCTCTGCATCTTTAACCACATCAAATTTGTCAACAATCCCTAAACCCTCATTTTTCTCTTCCATCAGGCCTCTTTCCATGGACATTTCCATTTACTCCCTATCTTCCTTCCACCCCCACTTCTCCATATCTAGATATGGGAAGACTCAGCTCAAATTGCATCTTGTTCCTCAACCTCATACTCATCCTTAGGGAGGGTTAGTCATTCCTGTCTCTGGGTTTCCAATATACATGAAATAAGTATTTATTATAGCTCATATCATAGCATGTGGTAATTATTTAAGTATCTTTCTTCTCCATTAGACCATGAGCTGTACAACTATTGACACTGCCTTATTGATGTTTGAAAATATCCCAGGACTTATCACACAGAACCTGTGTGCGGAACCTGATAAATACATGAAAAATTAATAAACATACCTTTCTGTGCTTTAATTAGTTGCTTTCCAATTTCTAGTGTCACATAGGCAGTACCATTTAGAACAATGTCAGTTATGGTCTTCCAAGCATTAGGAGAGAGTCTTTCGGTGGGAGAAATAAAATTCCCTGCCGCATTGTTTATCACAATCTAATAAATGAATAAGGCAAGTTACAGAAATTTTTAGATAAGGAATAACATTTTCCCTGAAAAGTTTTTACTTCTGAAACTTATTATTCCAAATAATACAATAAAGCTAAAACTGATAGTCTGCTATAAAATAATACTATCAGATTTGGTTTGGTTTTACTTTTTTTTGAGCCTGTGAAAATCTCCTGTGTTATTTACCAAATTTCAGAATCCTAATCCCTGTCAATAGTAGGGTAGAATCTATTACAAAAACAAATACAGATTAAGCATATCTACCATCTGTCTATACTATATTTCAAGGAATCTCAAAATGTCGTTCAATTTCTGGTGATATTTTGGCTTAATTTACCCAATGAAGTTCTTGGTTGATAACATGTTTCTTCACTATCAATAAAGATTCTACCTAGTTCTATTAGCAGATTCAATATTATTGGTCTGTCTGAAAATACCTTTAACTTAGAACATTGCTCTGAGACTACCAGAGGAAATGACTTCTTTCTGATACATGAACCAAAAAATAGCAAAATACTTATGCACATCTCAAGTCTTAAAAAGAAAAATTTGGAGTATCTTGTAGATTTCTTTACTTGAATCATTCTCCTCTACTGATAGAGATAATCAAAAGTTATTAGGAAAGGCAAAGAGCATGAATCATTTAAACTAGATATTGTGCTCTTGGATAACTGCTCTTCTTATTTCATGATCTTATTAAAGAAAATGAAATCAAGTTTGACTGCAAATGCATTTTTAAAGTATTTCCGAAAGGCAATGGTGTAGTTCACCTAATCTGTTCCCTGCTCTCACCAGAGCTGGATCTTTCCTAGGGACAGAAAATAGGTGCTTCTCAAAACAGCATTTTCTCACATCAGTATTTTATTTCCTTAGTGCATCCTCAGCACATCTTGGTGGATGTCATCAATGTCAAAGGCCCCATACTTTGGCCTCATCACCATTACACTTACATCAGGATGTCCTGCAACTCTGATCAATTCTGACACAGTGTTTTGCACCGTTTCAGGATTCCTCACATCACACTGAAGTGCATGAACCTGCAAAATATCAGAGAGAAAAAGGAATCCTCAATTTTTTAGACTTCTTAAACCAAAAACATGAATAAGTTACTTAAGCATGTTTTAATTCCTTAAATCTAAATTAAATAACTCTTTTTAATATACCTTATTTCCAGTTTGAGAAGAAATTTGTTCTGCAGTCTCTTTTAAAACATCAATCTTCCTAGAAATAAACACATGGTACTTCGCATGAGTTCTGAAATGACTTCATATTATTTTTTCTTTTTAATTCCATAAATTAAAAAACAAAGAGCATCTATAGCTTAAACAGAGGCAATCTTGACAAAATACAAAAGCTGTATCTACAAAAAATGTTTGAATGAATTCACTTTCTACAAGTTAAATTAGTACAATTTTTATATATCTAATACTCAATTACTGAATTATTTACTTTTAAACTAGTTGTTTTATATCTACACACATATTTAAACTTATTTCTAAAGTACAAAAATACTGATTCAAAGGGGTACATGCACCCTGATGTTTATAGCAGCATTATCAACATTAGCCAAATTATGGAAAGAGCCCAAATGTCCATCAACTGATGATGGATAAAGAAAATGCAGTGTGTGTATATACACACACACACACACACACACATATTTATGTGGATAAAGAATGGATATATATGGATAGATAGATATCTATATACATATATGAATGGATAAAGAAGGAGTGTCTTGATGGAATATTACTCAGCCATCAAAAAAGAATGAAATCTTACCATTTGCAGCAGTGTGGATGGAGCTAGAAAGTATTATGCTAAGGGAAATAAGTCAGTCAAAGAAAGACAAATACCATATGATTTCACTCATGTTGAATTTAAGCAACAAAACAGATTAATATAGGGGAGGGAAAAAAAAGAGAAAGGGAGGCAAATCATAAGAGACCCTTTACTACAGAGAACAAACTGAGGGTCACTGGAGGGGAAGTCGTTGGGGAATGGGCTAGATGGGTGATGGGTAGTAAATAGGGCACTTGTGATGAGCACTGGGTGTTATACGTAAGTGATGGATCACTAAATTTTACTCCACAAACTAATATTACGCTATATGTTAGCTAACTAGAATTTAAATGAAACTTGAAACATGACAAAAATAAAACAAATAAAATTATTTCACTAATTATAATAATTTCTGTTCCCTTGCTCATTATATCAAGAAAACACATTCATGATATAATGTAAACTTCTACTATATAAAATCTGTTATGTACAAAATTTATGTTAGATTTTAAACCGAATTTAAGAATATAAAAGCATCATATGTATTATTTCATACTCTTGAAAGAAACATGAAAAATAAACCATAAACATATATTATGTAGTATTACAAAGAAAATAATATGTTAGGGATGCCTGGGTGGCTCAGTGGGTTAAAGCCTCTGTCTTCGGCTCAGGTCATGATCCCAGGGTCCTGGGATCAAGCCCCACATCGGGCTCTCCGCTCCTCCTCTCTCTGCCTGCCTCTCTACCTGCTTGTGATCTCTGTCTGTCAAATAAATAAATAAAATCTTAAAAAAAAAAAAAAAAAGAAAAGAATATTTTAATATTTGTAAAAACATAATAGTATTTTTAAAAAATGTTCTTGCCAATTTGCATTAAAGGAAATATCTGAAAGAAATTCCTTTGGCCCTTTGTAATTTACATAATGACTTGTCATTCAGATTCTTATTCAGCCTATCTAAAAATCTGACACTGTTCAAAATAGGAAGAAGGTGTAGATTTTTTTGACCAGTCTCTGGTCTCTGAAGTTCTAGACTTACACAGTTACAGGATCCCAGGATAGGCCTAAATAAGAAATCCCATCTACAAGGCCTTATCCTTCCTACATTTATCACAATAGATGTTTTGAAACATCTGCCCGTCTTATAGAAAATGGAAGGATTATATCCAGTATCCTAATACAACGTTAATTATCCCTTGAAGCAGTAACTATAATCACTCCTACTGAAAGCAGCCTCAACACAGTGCTTTTTAACTTAAGCTTCAGGTACAAGAAAAAAAGTCTAACACTGAATTTGGGAAATGTATATACCATGAGTTCCATAATCAATCATTACTGATCTTCCTCAATCTTACAATGGGGTTATATCCCTGGTAAACCCATTGTAAGTGGAAAATACCATAATGTGAAAATGTATTTAATTATACCTAAGCTACTCAACATCATGGCTTCATCTGGCCTACCTTAAATTAGCCTACAGTTGGGCAAAATCATCTGACACAAAGCCTGCTTTATAATAAAGTGTTGAATCTCTCATGTCAACTTATTGAATACCGTACTGAAAGTGAAAAACAGAAGGGTTGTATGAGTACAAAATGACTGCGTTCTTGGTTGTTCCTCTCACAACTGAGCGGCTGACTAGAAGTTGCACTTCACTGCCGGCGTCAAGAGAGAGCATCTTACTGCATATTATCAGCCTGGGAACGGTTCCAAATTCAAAACTTCAAGTACAGTTTCTACTGAATGTGTATCACTTCCACACCATTGTGAAGTCGAAAAATCCTAAACTGAATCAATGGAAATCATGGTCCATCTGTATTTCTATCATTACAAATTATAACTGGTTTTTCCAAGGAGATTTTTTTAAATAATCGAAAGGATATACCATAGAAAATTAAGACAAAAAACAAAACTCTGACAAATAGTGTTCTCAATATCATGGCACAGAACTGCTCTATAATAGGCTCTTGCCAGGCAACTCGCTGAACATGACTTACCGGCTGGCTATCACACACTGAGCTCCCAGGCTGGACAGAAGAGTGGTCATTCCTTTACCAAGGCCAGTACCTCCCCCAGTAAGAAACGCCACTTTTCCTTGAAAACTATTAGGTGGTAGCATGGCTTTTTGAAGGGGTTGGAAGAATTGAGACTGAAAAGCTTCATTATTTTGATACAGTGTTTTTGTTCCATAACTGAAAAACTGAAAGGGAAAAGAAGATTAATTGAAATTTTCAAAAATGCATTTCCACAAAATAGATGATTTTCAAAAAACTTACTCTTGAATTTACTATTAATCAAATTCTTGGGTTAACAAACCCACTGTAAACATAACGGTATTGTATTTAATCAATTATGATTCTTTTTTTACTGAAATGTTAAGCAACGTAGTGGAATGGTTAAAAGCATGGGCTTTGAAGCAAGACTACAAAGGACAGAATTTTCCCATTAGTTGCATAACCTTCAGCAAGGGATTCAACCTCTTTGTGCCTCAGTTTCTTCTATAAATGGAGACAATAACAGAACCTAACTCAAAGGATATTGTAAGCATCACATGAGTAAATATAAGTAAAATACCAAGACCATTGTTTAGTTTATACCAAGCACTTTATAAATGCTAGTATTATTATTTACAGGGGTTCTGCTTAAATTTAACTTTAAAAAGCACTAACATAGTAAGGAAACAGTCAATAAAACTAAAAGGCAGCCTACATAATAGAAGAAGATATCTGCAAATGTCTTATGAGATAACAGGCTAGTATGCAAAAAATCCAAAATCTATGAAGAACTTATGAAATTCAACACCCAAAAAAATAAAAAATCAAGAAATGGGTAGAAGACATGAATAGGTATTTCTCCAAAGAAGACAAACAAATGGCTAACAGACACGTGAAAAAGTGCTCAACATCACTCCACGTCAAGAAAATACAAATCAAAACCACAATGAGATACCACCTCACACCGCCTAAAATTAACAACTCCAGAAACAACAGATGTTGGCGAGGATGCGGAGAAAGGGTAACCCTCTTACACTGTTGGTAGGAATGCAAACTGATTCGGCCACTCTGCAAAACAGTATGGAGGTTAAAAATAGAGCTACCCTAAGACCCAGCAATTGCACTACTATGTATTTATCCAAAGAATAAAAAAACAGTGATTCAAAGAGACACATGTATCCCAATGTTTATAGCAGCAATGTTCACAATAGCCAAAATATGGAAAGAACCCAGATGTCCATCGTCAGATGAATGGATAAAGAAGAAGTAGTATATATACACAATGGAATATTACTCGGCCATCAAAAAGAATGAATTCTTATCATTTGCAATGACGTGTATGGAAGTAGAGGATATTATGCTAAGTGAAATAAGTCAGTCAGAGAAAGACAAATGCCGTATGATTTCACTCATATGTGTAACTTAAGAAACAAAACAGATGAACACAGGGGAAGGGAAGGAAAAATAAGATGAAAATTAAGAGGGAGGCAAACCATAAGAGACACTGAAATCTAGGAAACAGAGGGTTGTTGGAGGGGAGGTGGGTGGAGGGAAGGAATAACTGGGTGATGGGCATTAAGAAGGGTATGTGATGGGGGTTGCCTGGGTGGCTTAGTGGGTTAAAGCCTCTGCCTTCAGCTCAGGTTGTGATCCCAGGGTTCTGGGATCGAGCCCTGCTTCGGGCTCTCTGCTCAGCGGGGAGCCTGCTTCCCCCCTCTCTCTTTCTGCCTGCCTCTCTGCCTACTTGTGATCTCTGTCTGTCAAATAAATAAAATCTTAAAAAAAAAAAAAAAAAGAAGGGGGGGCGCCTGGGTGGCTCAGTGGGTTAAAGCCTCTGCCTTCAGCTCAGGTCATGATCCCAGGGTCCTGGGATCGAGCCCCGCATCGGACTCTCTGCTCAGCCGGGAGCCTGCTTCCTCCTCTCTCTCTGCCTGCCTCTCTGCCTACTTGTGATCTCTGTCTGTCAAATAAATAAATAAATTAAAAAAAAAAAAAAAAAAAAGAAGGGTACATGGTGTAATGAGCACTGGGTATTATATGCAATTGATAAATCACTAAATTCTACCACTGAAACTAATAAAAAAAATAAAAAATGATCCTACTTGAAAGATGCATTCTAATAAAAGTTGCAAAAAAAAAAAGAACATAAAGCACATTCATCTTTTAACAAGAATAATTTGGATAAAAATCACATTCCATTTTTGAATCACTGGAAAAAATTATTCAAATTTCCTCATAAGGCTTATTAAATCAAATGTCTCTTCCTATGTTGTCTTCCTGAGAGTGAATTTAGAATAGATAACTATTTGTTATATTTGAAATAGGGGGAAAATAATATTTTACACTAAAAATAATTGTATTGCCCTATCTTATGTCTTAAAATTCACATTCTCGCATTACTTGTGAAAAACACTGCCACTCTCACATCTCATTCTAAAAACAGACTTTTAAGTGTTGAACATAACAAACAATAAAGAGTTAATTTCATTAAATGCTTACCATGTGTCAGGCTTCAAATATCAAACCAGTTCATCTTCACCACTCTATGAAATAGATATCATTTTTACCCTACTGTACAGAAAGGACCCAGAGAAGTTAATTATATCGCGCAAGTTATAGAACCAAGATTCCAATGTGGTCTGATACTCCAGAGCCCTCCCTCATCATCACCTTGCATATTTCCTCACTACTCACTGAACTTCTACAGAGCTTAATGATCACACCAAAGAGGCACATGATATTCCCCAGGTCATGGCTGGAAATTAAAACTCCAGAATCTTATAATTTCCTGATAGAATATTCCTGTATGCTAAGTGGTCTTCCATCAGTTGGTCTAGGTTATCTAGAAATGTATACTAAAGAAACAACTGGCAATGTAGTCAATGATTTAAGAGAAGGCTGTTTATAAACAGGAAGTACACAAGAAAATGTGTATGATATGATGTTAAGTGAATAAAAAGGTACGCAATATGTTCTGAACTATAAATAAAAATATATGCTTAGAAAAAAGACTACAGGGGCACCCGGGTGGCTCAGTGGGTTGAGCCGCTGCCTTTGGCTCAGGTCGTGATCTCAGGGTCCCGTAATTGAGTTCCGCATCAGGCTCTCTGCTCAGCAGGGAGCCTGCTTCCCTCTCTCTCTCTGTCTGCCTCTCTTCCTACTTGTGATCGCTCTCTGTCAAATAAAAAAAATAAAATCTTAAAAAAAAAAAAAGACTACAAAATAACAACAGTAAGTAGTAGATTCAATATTTACCATGTGCCAAGGTCTACTAAAGACTTTTAATGCATTACCTCACAACAATCCTATAAGGTAAATTCTATCATTATCCTCAAATTATAGAAGAAAAAGCTGAAACATAGAAAGGTCAAGTAGCTTTTAAAGACAAATAACCAGTTGAAAGGAGTCGACTCAAATCCAAGATGTGTCTGACTTCAGAGTCCCTCCATTACCTTCCTTACACAGTTATTATCTCTAGATGATGAGATTATGGATGATTATTTTTGCTTTTTGTTTGGTTGGTGTTTCGTATTTTCAAGATCTTTTCAGAAGTATGATTTGCTTTTATAATCAGGAAAAACCATTGTTGAAAGACAAAAATTTGAAAACATCTATAAAGTAATTGGTGAAGATAAATCTGTAAATCTGATTATGTTCCATGCTTGCTGGTCGTTGTATTTCCTTTAACTTTATGTTGACAAAGCATTTTCCTTTTGTATCCCTTTGCCAGAGCATAATAATCCAAGTGACCTACAATAATAATCTTTCTCTACATAAATGGCAGTTTTACTTAAGGTTGCCACCGCCTCCAGGACTATTACATTAAGATGATGAATCAGGAAATTTGCACAAGTAGGCTGGTGAGTTAGTCATTTCCCATTAATAATGAAAAAAATGTATTCTAATTTTTCAAAGGCTCTAAAATGAATTTTGATTTATTTAGTGTTGATTTGTATAAGGAATACAATGTACTTTATGAAAGACAAATTAAGTAACTAAATATTTATATATACAAACATTTTTTTATTTATCTTAAAACATTTTCCAACCTCCCAAATAATCAATCACTTTGATAATAATTCCTACTAAGTGTCTATAAGGTATCAGGTTACTATATAGCACCAGCTTATCTGTTGTATTTTATTTGACCTAATCAATACTGATTTTTCCCTCCAAACCAGAAGTGAAGAAATTGATCTGCTATTTTAAATCATATTACCTTCTGATAATTCATAGCATATATGCTATTGAATATTAAATTCAAACCATCCGTTTGCCTAAAAGCAAGTTTTTCATTTCAATATTAAGACCCATAGTGATGACCAGACCTCACAGAATCATGTTGTATTCAGTCTCCTGTTTCTAAAAAGGAGGATCTTGAATAACCTGAGATAGCATTTTGGCCATTTCTTTTTGAGTCATAAAAAGTGAATACAAGGGGCGCCTGGGTGGCTCAGTGGGTTAAAGCCTCTGCCTTCAGCTCGGGTCATGGTCCCAGAGTCCTGGGATCGAGCCCCACGTCGGGCTCTCTGCTCAGCAGGGAGCCTGCTTCCTCCTCCTCCTCTCTCTCTCTCTCTCTCTCTGCCTGCCTCTCTGCCTACTTGTGATCTCTGTCAAATAAATAAATAAAATCTTTAAAAAAAAAAAAAGTGAATACAAAATAGATTTTAACGTTTTCAAATCTTGCTTTGTGTTTTTTCTAGAAATAAGTTGTCTTCTGAAAATAGATATAACACCTTTCGTATCAAGATTGATTTCTCAGGCCATTTTTTAAAATTTTTTTATTTAAATTCAAGTTAGTTAATATGTAGTATATTATTAGTTTCAGGGGTAGAACTTAGTGATTCATCATTCGCATGTAACACCCCGTGCTCATTACATCAAGTGCCCTCCTTAATGCCCATCACCCAGTTACCCCATCCCCTGCAACCCCCTCCTCTCCAGCAACCCTCAGTTTGTTCCCTATAGCTGAGTCTCTTATGGTTTGCCTCTCTCTCTGTTTTTATCTTATTTTTCCTTCCCCTCCCCTATGTTCATCTGTTTTGTTTCTTAAATTCCATATATGAGGGAAATCATACAGTATTTGTCTTTCTCTGGACAGCTTTAAAATCTAAAATTCTTAAAACTCTCTAACATCTTCAATTTTAGCAAACAAATTTACTTATTAGAAGTTCTAAAATCTCCCCCCCCAAAAAATCAGCTATCA